CAACCGGAAACCGGCACAACACGAATACGAAGTTAGTGAGAGAAAACACTAAGTCAACACGACACGACACAAAACCAACCCGAACACACCCCGTTTAGATAAAGTGGTCAAATTATGCAACTATCCAACATTATACATAGTTTTTGATAGATTTTGTGAACAACGTGAAATTGACAAGAGACCAAACACGAACACGACACGATTCAACTTATTGACAACTTTACTTTCATGCATGGATGATAAATTTAATGCGTTAAGAGAAGCCTAAAGCGTATACAAAGGCAACCGACCGAGAAATGGATAAATCTACAAGCAAGACAATTATTGATAAATTTCCTTAATAATAAAGGGTTTGTTCACTTCACATGAAATAAGGTGTTGTGGTTTGATTCAATAAGGTCTAATCTGACGTGATATAAATTTCTCTAGTGGTCTAATGTACTTGTTTAATTAAACTTTCACCGTATTTTTAGACCAATGTATAAAAAACAATATTATCAAGTGCGGTCTTGTTGAATTGTCTTAAACTGAACTTAATAATTTTCATAATTATTATATACACACGATTAAAAAAAACTTAGCAATAAAAATGGAAATCAAAATTTCTTATCTGGATATTTCTGACGAGAATTACTAACAAGTTTCCGAAATAAATTAAAGATAACAAGTCAAAAGTATAAACACTATTAACATATTCAATTTGAGTGTTTTTTTTAAGCCCAATAGGTTCTTTTTTATGGCTCATGGCTACAAATTACTTTTCAGAATCTATAAAATCCACGTGTAATTGGAAGAAATGTATTTACATTTGAGTAAGGGTATCAATAATTTCTTTACCAACCTTTTAGCTCAAAGTATATATGGAAAACAAGAGGCACAATAAATTACTAAAATGAGTTTTTTAAATAGCAAAGAACTGACACGCATTACTGGTGGACTTGCAAATGAAAAGACTCAATAACTTTGAATTCCAATTATCAAACAGGAACAGGAAGAAGCAAACCTTATCTCTTCCAGCACTAAGTAAGAACCTTCTATCTTCAGACATTGCCAAGGAAACTACTGCAGAGAAATGCTTTTCCATTGTTGCAGCACACTTCTTAGTGATAAGATCCCAAACCCGGACAGATGCATCATCACTTCCGGAGAAAAGCTGTAAAACAACGCCAAATACTAAATTAAGACATGCAAGATATACAGAAAACAAGCACTAAAAAGACATGCCTTGAAACAAGAAAATTCCAACAGATATAATAATGTCAGTAGCACAAATGACTGAATGGATTTACAAGTCAGTTAGACAGTAAAAATCAAAAAGTTTAGCACCATCAAAGGATGAGAAATATTGGAACAAGTCTACATCCGTGCATACATCTCACATATATTCAAGGCTACAAGCCCATCCCGACATGTCAAAACCATGCCACTAACACTTAGACGCACCTAGCCACCTACACACATCTAAAAGTCAGGTACCATTTTTTTCATAACTAGGGTGGCTTACGTGCACGATGAGCGCGGAGGGACTAGCTCTTGCGGAGAAGTTGTATTGGCGTGTATTTACATCTTTGGTTTGGGTAGTAGTTTTAATACTATTTGGTTTATGTGCGTTTGAAATCTATTAAAATCTTTATGACAATTATTTATTAAGATCCTCTAAAGTTTCACAAAATTAATCCAAAATTATTATTAAATAATAGTTAATCAAGTTGCATCCCTTCATATAATATTATTATCCCTTCATATCTTAAGGGGCAATTGTTATTTTAGAACTCTTAATTGATTTGCAAGTTTCAATAATACTTAGTATAATATTTCTAGGGTGGTTTTCTTCGGATAGAGCTTAGGTCATACGGAGTAGTAATATGTGAAATGTTGTAGCTAAAAACTTAATAATGTTTTAGTAATATGTGAAATGTTGTAGCTAAAAACTTAATAATGTAAGTTCTTTAATGTTCTACGACCATCTAATATCTATATCTAATACTAAAACAATAACCACTAAGTTGTAGTTTTCCTCTTAAATTCCTTCATTTTCTCTTCCATGATTAATACCATTTTTTTTTCTATTATTGATTTTCCTTGATTTAGGATTTTTTAAGTTCTTTATACCTCTTGATAACATCAACTCAAATATCACTATTTAATATGAATCGCATTTACAATTCCATAACATTGTTTATGTGCCATCAAACCCTTAACAATAGTTGCGGTTAAAGGACGACAAGATTGTAAATAAGAAGAGCAACCAGAAGTTTGGTAATAAATAGTCTCTTTGTAGTTTTGTACATACAGTTTTTTCTTTTTAACCATTAATAATAATAACATATGAAATACAGAGCATTAGAAGTTATTTTATATATATATATAAAATATTAAAAAAAAAAAAAAGCATTGCGAGTTTTTTGCAAAAAAAAAAAATAACAAAAACAAAACAAAAAAAACAAAACTTTAAATTAATTGATGATATGTTAATGAAAAAAATACATTAAATATATTAATGATGGCAAACATAATAATGAGGGTTGAGGGTTAAAATGTAAATACACATTTTTGTACACATTTGTGAGGGTATAATTGGTAGCACACTATTCCTAAAAATTATCGTATACTTCTTATAAGGTAGGGAAAAAAATGAGCCCACTATGGTCCAGAAAAGTTAATGATTTACTCTATAAACTCTTACATCCAAAACCAATTGAAAACCTTATTCTTTTTCAAGAGTACATGTTTTTATGTATTAGTGTATTACCCTCTCTTAGGACCTCCAAAGAAGTACAAACACCATCAACTAAGAACCCACCCTAAAACCCAGAAAACTCATAAAAACCAAAACAGAACTATGTGCCGTCGAACTGATGCACTTAAAGCAAGGAGGCAGTTAGTATATATTACTAAATTAGCAATTTAGAAGGAATGGTTTTATGCCATGAAGTCATAATTGATTAATTACACACGACTTCATCTCATATATGGCCCACTAAGAGCACATCAATAAATTATACTTCCTCCGTTCATTTTAGTTGCATCACTTGAAAATTTACACTATTTACATTCCTTACTGTAAGAATGTGAATAGTGTAAATTTTCTCATGTGGGGTCTTGTTAGTTTTTTCTTTTCAATTTATATTTTCACAATATCTAATTCTTACATTTTTTCACTTATCTATATTTGAAGGTACGTATAGTTAAAACTATGCATTGGCAAGCCTGAATAGCACAGTGTTGCAATTAAAAGTATACGGAGAAAGAACATACATCAAACAAGTGTAATAACTAATTCTAGACTAAATCTAAAGGGCTAATGGTTCTAAGGCAACTTCAAAAGGTAATGCAACTTAGAACAAGCTCAAAATAGAGAATAAAATATATTTCCTCCGTCCCTAAATTACATTCCTCCTTTCTATTTTTGGTAAGTTTTTTTAGTAAATCAACTCTCTTTTTCTGTTTTATATTTAATGCTTTCTCACTCATCCTTACCTAATCTCACTCATAATCCTTGTGCCAAATTACAATGAATATGATTGGTTAAAACTTTTTAATTAGGAGCATGTGATTGGTCCTTTTTTTTGCAAAGGATTGATGACTTGTCATGAGTAATAACTAATCTATCTTTGTACTTCCCATTACATTATCTAATTATTGTTATTTGTCTTATTCTTCCCTCCTTAATTTCCGTGTAAATTTCCAAAGAGAAATGTAATTTAGGGACGGAGGGAGTAAAAACAATGAACATAAATATCAGCACACAATAAATATCCTAGATAAAAGCAAAAAAAATCACCCCAAAAACCAAACTCAAGTAATTAATTAACAAAGTCAAAATTATTAACACTTACAAGAAGGCAATCAGGATCAGGATGAAACATGATGCAAGTGACATCCCCTTTGTGTCCTTTAAAATAATGCGTGCAAAATCCACCATCAACGTCCCAAGAACTTTCCTATCAGCTCCAGCAGTTACTAGCAATCCTCCTGATGCATCACATGACATAGCCATCACTGGCCCGTCATGTCCCTTCATCAAAATGTAACATCCAATTTTCAGACCAAGACAAGGTAACAAACAAAATCCTTTTGCCAATTCTAGATTAACACAAACTAACAAAAAGATTTTAAATTTAATTACTACCTCGGTTTCATAATATGTGCAACAATTACTAAAAAAAATTGCTGCTTCACATTATATGCAACAAATGCTTTATTCCTTTTTGAGTTGTCATTTCTCTCTATCGCTCTCCTCGTCGAATACATCCACAAATTTATATCCAAGAGTTCATATCGTGGCCTTTGTTGCACATAATATGAAACGAAGGTATTCTTAAACCAATTTCAGTATTCACTAATCACCTAGATTAATTAAACTACCCGCGCATACACAGCACAACACCAAATGTATAAAAACATTACACAAAACTAACCATTACACTAAGCAACACACATATAAGAATAATGAATCAAAATCTAAAATAAAAATCAATATTATTATTATTATTATTATTATATTATTATTATTATTATTATTATTATTATTATAAAGAATACATTTGAGCGTAGAGAGGTCCCAAACCCTGCTTTGGCGACTATGGCTAGCAGAAAAGAGGAATTTATCATCAGGGCTAAGCGCTAAGCGCAAGAGCTGTAATTGGCTCAGAATCACCTTCAATGGTGGATTTAATCGACGCATTCGAAGAATCGACGATTTTGATAGAATCATCGCAAGTACAAACGAGGAATGTGCCGCCGGAAGAAACAGTAAAGGGGCCGCCAGTGTAGAACTACTGCGATGATTGAGTGGTACGGTAGCTCTTCTTGTAGCTTAAAGCCGCCATTGTTGCAGTTGAGCTTCAAGCTTTGAAGGTGAGAGAGAGTAGCAGAGGAGAGTTCAAGAGGTTGGGACTGAAATTTCACAATTCTGAATAGTAGTGCTGTCAAATTTCAAACCGAAATCGTTTAACTGCCCAAAACCAACCGACCCAAATGAGAACCGAACCGATTAAAAACCGAAAACCGACCCGAACCGTATTTTAGTAAACCCGAAACCGAATCGACCCGAATAATGTTAAACCGTATAAGAACCGAACCCGTTAACAAACTGAACCAAATATAAAACGAACTGAAAGAAAACCGAACCGAAAAAGAACCGAACCATATCTAACCCAAAACCGGTTCCAACCCGAAACCGTTTAAACTGGCAAAAAAACCGCTTACACCGAACCGTTAGCAAACTGCTAGCCGTTTGCACCGAACCATTTAAAAACCGAACTGATTGTAAACCGAACTGAACCGTTTATGAACCAAACCGCTTCTAAATCGAACCGTTTACAAAATTTTTTATATAATTAAATGGATTTTTTTTTTTTTGACGGGAATATAATTAAATAGATTAAATATTAGAAATCTTAGAATATTTTTTAAAAAATAGCAAGGCAAATCATTCATTAAGGATAATCAGTGCTCACAAACAAGAGCAAAACAAGCAGGCTCAGGCCCTGCCTCAAACTATTAGCAACACTACTGCCTCTAGTCATGTATACATTTGAGGTGATGAAACCAAATGAACAAAAAGCTTGTAATATTAAGTACCAAGGCTTGGCTGAAGGCGTAATAAATAAAATTAATTCACAGAGACTATTAAGCATATGATTATATTAATTCTGTGAGTAATAATGAAATAAAGATGGGAGTGTGCTAGTGACATGAATATACTATTAGGCTATGTTTTAATTCAGATTCAACTATAATTTGACTATTGAAAATATTCCACGATAAATACAATTGAGCATAGCCCTGATAATTTGTAAATTGCAGTATAATGGAACCAACAGAACTCGCTTATTATCAACATTAATTTAGAAAGTTCAGTCTCCATGTCTTGCGAACGATTTTTGATTATGAATGCCACCATTATTTCCAAAGAAAAGCAGAAACATCCAAATTCAAACAATATATCATCATAATTTTCGAATTCAAACATAGTGGTAGTGACTTGTTGTTGAGAAGAATCTTGATTCTGAACAGTGTCTTGAGAATCTATAGTTTGCTCATCATAATTTCCAAACCCTTGCTCCATTACTTAAAAAACAGAAACAAAACAACACATTTCATCATAAGTGGATGTAGTTGAGCAAACCATATTCCATTATATGTCAACTCATCAGCAAAGAACATGGTATATATTCAAAACTGACCAGAATTCTTATTATTTTAGCACTATTGATAGTTTGATACCAGTCATACCACATTTGAAAGAAAATCAATGTAAGGCCACATATTGATACATATAGATGCTGGCCATTTTATCTGATCAGGGATAATACATAGTGTCAATTTAATTAATTTAATTAATTTTCACCGTAATATTTCACAGCAGCAACTAATAGAAATGTACTGAACAAAACAGTGTGTTAAATTTAATGTATGAATAAACCAAAGTTCAGGCAATAATGTTCTTAATAAACTTTTAAAAATCGCCGGCAAAACAGAGCATTTAGTCACCTAGAGACAATGAAGCCAGCCACCTTGTATAAAACTTGCTATAGCAGCTGGAGCACAAAAACTCAGAATACTGCATGTAATAAGTTATATATCCTTAATTCCTTATAAACAAAACCCCATTCTTCAACACTTTCAGTCAATTTATTCATTTATATATATAAAATCAACAACTTGGCCATCTTTTATATACTGTTACTATCATCCATTCATCCCCAAATTTACATTTTGAATTGCCATGCATTACAAGAAATACATATACAAAATATAAATGATAAAAAAAAAAAAAAAAAAAAAAAAAAAAAAAAAAAAACAATTCATACCAACAAAAATATCAATTAAAATCGAGAAAGAGAGAGTGGTTACCTGAATTTGGAGATTTAGGGCAGCAAACACCGATGAGAAAGAGGCAGAATCAGGACAGCTTCAAGGTCCGCCGTGAATGAATGTATGAGGGAGACGGAGAGGCGCTGAGCCCATGAGAATGAGAGGCGCCGTGAGCCCGGGAGTGGTAAAGTGAGAGTGGTAAAGTGAGAGTGAGAGTGAAAGGGTTTCATGTAAATCTAACCATTGGTTTTTTAATCTATGGTTCATAATGGTGATCTGTGTGTGTTGTGGGAGGAAGAATCTAACCATTGATTTTTTTAATCTATGGTTGAGAGTGGTGATCCGTGTGTGTTGTGGGAGAAGAATCTAACCATTGATTTTTTAATCTATGGTTGAGAGTGGTGATCCGTGTGTGTTTGTATGTTGTACATTCATGTACAAAAATATTATTCCCTTAATTCTTTAGTATTTTTTTGCCCCATTTGATCGGGATCAGTGTTCAAGACATGTATTAAAACATCTACTAGTATATCTTTATTTTCATACACGTAAAAATTATAAAAACGTTATATTAATAAAATATATAAATAGATAAATTTAAAAAGATCACTAATGAGTCTATAACTTTGTACTAATACATACGAATAACAATGATACGAATATTTAACTATGAGATGGTTAGATGCCATGTGTTAATAATGTGTACATATGATCGATTGAACTAATCAATATTACCTTGTTAATTAGTCATTAGTGTTTTCTTTCATTATACAAATCAAAGCACTTTGTAATATCTTCATAATTTCATGAAAATATATAATGATAAACGAGTCATAATTATCAGTCTTGTTGACTAATCAAGTATCGAATTACCAAATTGCAAATTTCCATTTCACAAGAACTCATCAAATCATGATTATAAATACTATGCGTAGTATATAAATGATTAAATAAGAAGCATATAATAACCTAATTGTAAAACAATAATACATTAATACACTAACTCTTATAATCTACTTCGTAATAAACTAGTAAAATCAGTATGACTAAACTTGAAACAGAACATAATATGTAATTATAAAATCAATGAGAATTTGTTTATAATATGATGCCTAAATAAGTAAATATGAAATGATTCGCGACTTTATATAAAACTTGTGAACGCAAAAGGTTAACAAGTACTATCAAATTTCAAACCAAAACCATTTAATTGCCCGAATCCAAACAACTCGATAAACAATTTATTTTTTGAAACTGAAAACCGACCCGAACCGTAATTTAGTAAACTTGAAACGGAACCGATATGAATAACGTTAAAGTGGTTAAACCATCGAAGAACCGAACCAGTTAAAAACTGAACCGAAAAAGAACCGAACCAGTTAAAAACTGAACCGAAAAAGAACCGGACCAGTTATAAACTGAACCAAAAAAGAACCGAACTGTTTCTAACCCGAAACTGTTCCAAACCCGAAACTGTTTGAATCGGGATAAAAACCGTTTACACCGCACCGTTAACAAACCGTAACCTGTCTGCACCGAACCGTTTACTACCCGGACTGTTTACAACCCGAACCGAATTAAAACCGCTTAATAATAAACCGAAACCGAATCGAACCGATAACTATTTAAACCGAACCAAAACCGACCCGTGAGACAATTAAACCGATTTCAAACCGACCCGATTAAATACCGAACCGATTTCAAACCGAACCGAAATCGAACTGTCAAACCATTTTGACAGTGCTACTGAATAGGGTTTAGGGTTTAACGTTTGATTTTTTTTTCTTTTTTTTTTTGTTTTTTGGTTACTTTTTATTTGGGATTTTTTTTTTCGCCGGAGGGTACGAGTAAAAGGGTGATTGTGTACTTTTGACTTTTACGCTATTTAGCTTTGACTTTTATGTTTTTTAACTTTGACTGTTGCGCTATTTAAGTTTTGTTTTGACTTTTACGCTATTTAATTTTGTCTTTACTTTAACGTGATTTGACTTTTATGATTGACATCTTACTTTGTATAATTTAAGAATCGTTTTTGCAACACTTAACCCTATCACTCCAACCCTAACTTTCAATTCTCATGCACTCTTTTTTTTTTATATATAATTATTTTTATTTTTTTATGTGTGTTTAATAAAATAACTTCCAAATAACTGCATGCTACAAGTTTACAATTCCAAATTAACACTTATCCATAACTTCCTTAACTGAAAAAAAAAAACTATAACTTCCACTTATACTATTTTTTCCCTAAACATACGTATATCTCGTGCATTAGCACGGGTACATTCTCTAATATATAATTTAAGAGTCGTTTTAATGAGAGCGTTCAAGAACCCAAATACTCGTCTCACATTCACTCCCTCTAATTTAAGAGTCGTTTTAATGAGAGCGCTCCAGAACCCAAATACTCGTCTCACATTCACTCCCTCTTAAATACACTAATCCCTTCAAAAATACCTACTACACGGAGTACTTTCTAATTTAAAATTTTAAAAACAATTACACTTTCAAAAAAAAATAATAATAAAAAAATAACATAATAGTTACCCACTACAAACTATCCATTACCGTCAGAATAGCACACTTTACATGGTTATAATATAAACTACCCATAAAATTCATACTTTTTCATTTCATAATCTCTACTACAATAGCACACTTTTTGTTCTCTTCTTAAATTTCCATACTCCATGGTAACTAGCACAAGATTAATTGATTAAGTTTTTTTTTTTTTTTTTTTTTGGTGAAAAGGAGCAGATATATTACGCCATTATAGGCTTGAAAATAGCAGTTAGGTAATTACAGGACATAGTAAGCATCATAGAGCTAACTAGCTAGAGTTTGTGTCCATGAGAGTTCCAAAAGTGGGTCTATTGTTTACCCCTACACAACTAGAAGGATAGGGAGGATCATATATTACATTAAATCGATCCAAAAACAAAAGATTGTTGCTAAAAACTTCAGACAGAGTTAGAAACCGCCCTGCTTCTTTGGCTAGAAAATCTGCTTCCTTCACCTTCTTCCTCGGCACATTCATTAGCAATATGGATGGATTTTCTTGAGCTAGGTCCCTGCACATATCATATATGAAGCATGCTTCATCAGTTGGGGTCTGAATTGAGTTAATACACAACACCCCTCTTTGGCAGTCAGAAAAAATACAGATTGAAGTCCATCCCATATTAGCACATAGAGACATAACAGCTAACATAGCAAACAGTTCAGCTTGAAGAGCATTAACAACTGTTATGTGGACCCCTACACCCAGGACCCATTCCCCTTTATCATTCCTACATAAGCAGGCTATACCAGCAGAAGATGATTTAGCATAGAAAGCAGCATCCACAAAAATGGAGAACTTAAGGAAAGGGGTGGGTTTACTGATCAGAGGTTTTGAGGGACTTATGCCCTTGTCACAAATAAAGGAAATATCTTGTATTAAGGCTTTAACCCCTCTAAGCCATTGGTCAGTAGGACAAGATTTTTGGGTAAAGACCCATGAATTCCTTCTAGTTCATAATTTCCACAGAATAATTGAAAAAGATAAGTTCCAGGGGGCATTGAAGATAGGGGAGACAGAAGAACCTTCCAAGTTAGAAGCAATCCAGTTCTGCAGGCAGGAGGGACCTTGGGGTGGAGGGGATATGAGTACTTTCTCCCATACTTCCATGGCTCTTAGGTAGTAATAAAGGACATGGAGGGAATCCTCATGGGTCCTAGGGCAGAAGGAACAGGTTGGAGAGGGAATGATGTGTCTGTGGAAGAGGGCAAGAAGCAGTAGGCAGTCTATCCCAGAAGATCTGCCATAAAAAGAACTTGATATTTGGGGTAGCTTGGAGGTTCCATATTTTTTGCCATTCAATTGAGCTAGGTTGGGATTAATGTTGATTTTCCCATAAAAGAGAGTAGGCCTTCTTTAAGTTAAAGAAGGAGCCTTCTCCAAGTGAGCAGAAAGGGAGGTCCTCTTTTTCAAAGAAGATTGGAATCCCTCTAACTCTCTGAATGATGTGAGGAGGAAGACAGATAGGGAGGTTATCAAGGTTCCAAGAACCATTAAGAATAATGCTACTGACAGTATTTTCCTCCTTTAAAGGAGGGAGTGGGCCTGAGATAAGATTCCTAATAGGACCTAAGCCAGTCCAGTTATCAAGCCATAGCAGACAGGTGTTTCCATTTCCAACCAGCCATTGTGTGAAATATTGAAAAATTGGCCAGCCTTTGCCCATAGCTTGCCAGATATGTGAGCCATTAGAAAAAGAAGTGGGCATTTGTCTATGGCAGTATTTATCTCTAATGATACTGGAGGAGATATTAGAAGAGTTATGAACTTTCCAGCAAAACTTAGCTAGAAGAGAGAGATTGTGAATGTGAGAATCCCTGAAGGACAATCCTCCCTTTTCATAAGGCCCACAAAGTTTTGACTAGGCTATAAGGGAAGTTTTTCTTTCATCATCAATGCTTCCCCAGAAAAATCTGCTACAGATTTGGTCTACTTAGTGACAAAGGTTCTTAGGGAGTGCAAGAACTTGCATAGAGTATTGAGGAATATAGGTGAGAATAGACTTGATAAGGGTAGCTCTTCTAGCTTTGGATAGACATCTGGCTTTCCATGAGGAGAGTTTAGCTTTCATGTTCCTGATTATGTAACTGACTTGAGAGGGAGAAGGCCTTTTATCAGTTAGAGGAAAACCCAAATAAGTACCCAGGTCATCAGTGATAGCAATATGGAGGGAAGAAGAGAACCAGTCCCTCATATGAGAAGAAGCATTCCTTGAAAAATACAGATAGCTTTTGGCAGCATTCATTTTTTGGCCAGACAGATAGAAGAATAGATCAAGAGTGTTATTGAGATAGGAGAGAGTTTGGTAGGAGGCTTCCCCAAATAAGATTAGATCATTAGCAAAAAGGAGGTGTGAGACAGATATAGAATTCCTCCTAAAGCTGAAAAGGGTCCAGGAACCCTCTTCACAGGCCTCTGAAATAAGGGAGGATAGATATTCCATGTAGAGAATGAAGATGTAGGGGGAAATAGGGTTCCCTTGTCTAATTCCCCTTGAAGCATTGACAGGAGGAGATAGTTTTCCATTACTTGAAGGGGTGGAGATGCAACTCATAATTAAATCAATAGAGGGTTTATCTCAACCACTCCTGACTAGATAGGTCTCAATGAAAGACCATTCAAGACTATCATAGGCCTTTTCTAGGTCCAATTTCAAAGCAAACCAAGCCCCGTTCCCAGACTTTTTCCTCATGGAATGGAGGATCTCAGAGGCTGCAATGTAATTGTTCTCACATCCCCTACCAGGCAGAAAACTACTTTGGTTTGAGGAGATGAGGGTATTTAGAAAAGGTCTCAGCCTATTAACCAAGATCTTGGAGATGACCTTGTAAGAAGAGTTGCATATGCTAATGGGCCTATATTGTTTAATTGTTTCAAGGAAGTCCACTTTGGGGATAAGAGTGATGGAAGTTGTATTCACTTCCTTGGGCACAGATTTGTTCTCAAAGAAGGACTGGGCAAAGGCATGAATATCC